CTGCGTGCGGGGGGAGGGACTAAACAGCATAAGTGCCAAAAATGATTGTGTGTACGATTTGTTGATATTTTCCATTTGTTGCTATTTTCACAGTGGATTTGCAGTCCGGAAGCGATCGACCAGTATGTAGATGCGTCCGGAAAAGAGGCAATCACCACAGCGACAGACGTGTGGAGTTATGGGGTTGTTTTGTGGGAGATGATCTCGCGACAGGTATTATTCACAGCAAGAAGTTGAAGTGAGCATGTTTGCATTTCACTGTGAGGTGTGCTCATTGCAGGAACCGCACGAGTCTCTTCCTCCGCCTTTCATAGCTGATCTGATGCAGCAGGAGGGTTCACCGCTGCTCATACCTAAACGATGTCCGGCAGGTTTTGTAAGGTACGATTTTAGTGGTGATTGCGATGTTTGAGTTTGTTTTCATGACGTCATGTGGCTAATATGGTTGTGAAACGGTGTTATGATGAGTGTGTTATCTTTCGTGTTGTTTTGGAGAAGTGAATTGTCGCTCGGAATGAATAAATTTCAGTTTGATGGAAAATTGCTGGAAAAGAAAGCCACGAGAACGATACGATATGCGTCGAGTAATCGCCGAGCTGAAGAGCATGCAAAGGGATGCGCAATTCAACAAATAAACGTATGAAATTGCACTCCTCTTGAAGTGCCCAGTTTCAACCTCAAAAGTCAGTTCTTCACTCGAGCCTTCTACACATCTCTATGAGCAACATGCTAGGTGAATTCCAAGCCCAACGAGATTTCGTCTAATGCCTACTTCACTGAATGCGCATTTTTTTTGTTGTCCAAAATGAACAATTTTATTCTCTTTTATTCCGTTATTACAATTCCAAACCGGATGATTCAGTGTGTGCCTCATACTTTTCGTACATTTTCTCTCAGGAAATATGCAACTACCAATCTGGATAATCTTGGATTATCCATCGTTATTTGAAAAAAAAAAACTCTCTCTTTTAACTACAAGTTTTTTTCACTTCGATTTCGGCATTTTTAGCAGCGCATCTAAATAGTTAGAGGTGGAGTTGGATAGAAAGATGAATACTATTAAATCAATGAACAATGGAAAAGAGCAGCGAAAGGATCAAGGGTCGCATTGAATCTAATTCAAAGGATGCCGAGTACACCGATGCAGCGTCATAATTTATTTCAGCGGCACTATGCTTGCAATTGATCATTTTGACTGTGTTCACATGCACATGCACACTACATCCGTTATTATTGTCACTTTTATTGCGGTGAATATTATTATTATTAAGTGATTATTATTTTACAAATGTTCACATCGCAAATCAATATTATAAATTGAACAATACCACAGTATCAACGTTTTCAATGTGATCAATGAATAGTACTTGTATTATGATTATTATTATCACGTAATTATTTATTTAATATTTATAATACCTGCTGCAGTATTCGTGTTCCAAGGCAATAATTATTTTCCTGTACTATTATTATTATTATTTACTGTTATTATCGTCATTATTATTATTACTTTAGGTTTTAATCATCTTTTGAGTATCATTATTATTATTATTAATATTATTGTTATGAATATATTTACGGTTGTTGTTATTCATATTATTATAATTGATGCAAGATGAGCATAAAATGAGGTATTGTGCGATAAAATACGTGAAGAGGATGAATTTTTCATTGTGTGGAATATTTATTATTGTTGTGTATTGGATTAATATCATTAGGTCGGACGAGTAGAATAGTGCGAATCCAATGAAACGCAGCAGATCGTTCTGAAATTTATTGTTATTTATTATTATTATTATTATTGTTATTATTGTTGTTATTATTATTACTATTATTATTATTACTGTTACTATTATTGTTATTATAATTATTGTTGTTATTATTATTTCTTTATGACTCTTATTTATTAATAATATAGAAACAGTAAATACATATTAATAATGTAATAATGATAATAATAATATATATAGTAATAATATAGAGTTCCACTGCAACGGAGCATAAGTGCTGTGGTTAGCGGGCGTGTGTGCGCAAGCGGACGTGCACAGTGGTGGGCGGAGCTTATGTTATTGGCCACGCCCGTCGTCGCGCAGGGCCGTGCGCACGCACGCACGCCTCCCCACTGGACACTACTTTTACTGCAGACGAATGTAACGGCAATAATACCATACCGATTAATAATAATAATAATAATAATAAATGTAAACTCACAAAGCGCTGCGGTTGGTGTTGATGTGGAGCGTAGAAGTAGAGGGAGGCGGAGATGAGGAGACACGACGATAGTAATAATGCATAAATTATAATGATTATCGAGTCGTAGACATTGTCTATTGTTGTCAATTTTATATTTATTATCGTTGATATTATTATTATTGTTGCAATTGAGCACTTCAATAAGACTATGTGATGCTCTCGACGGAGGCGATGCGCGAACGTGAGCTGCAATTTTTGTATTATTTATTATTGTTGTTATTATTGTTATTGTTATTATTATTATTGTTATTATATTTAATTGGGCATGGATATAATAAACTACTGCAATAAAAATGGTGTAGAATAAGAATAATAAGCAAATAATAAAAAATGAACCAAGTAAAAAATATGCCCAATCGCAAATGCTGTGGCAGCGGTGACCAGTGCATCGTTATTTATTGAATTATTGTTGTTATTACTATTATTATTGTCAATATTATTATTTACAATTATATCACTATATTTATTATTATTATAATCATTATTATAGTCAAAACAGATGAAGAAATCGCCCAACGACCCGAAAAACAGTCCCAGCGATATGAATCGCCTTCTGCGACCCCTCAAGCCCGCGTCAGTCAAATGACTCAATATACTCAATATTAGCACTGGTAACGTCTTCCTGGAATATTTATTATCATTAAATATATTTATTATTGTATACATGAAGGTTTATCATTGTTATATTAAAGCAGTGCTCTATGTAATTATTGTTGTTATATAAAAAGTGTTGCATCATATCGTTCACATTATTAGGAGAAGGAGAATTTCGCTGGTGTTCTTATTATTTATTATATACATTTAGCATTATTAATATACAATAAATAATAATAAATAGCAATAATAATAAATAATAATAATAACCAAATCGGATAAAACGTGTCGTATTTCTGAATGAAACCATCGGATTGCTGATAGAATATCGCGATTAACGCAACGTACGGGACTGCCAGTAAGGTGGATGCCATTTATTGTTATTAATATTTATTATACATTAATTTTATTGGTTATTACTTGTTATTATAATAATATTGCGAGAAGAAGTGATAACGATGTAAGGAATAGAATGCAAACGCCCTTGAATTAGGTGTTTATAAAGGGAAGGACCGCGTGTCTTAACAGATCAAACATTAATAACTGTTATTATTATTATGATGATGATTAATCTTGTTATCGTTATGGACATCATTATTATCATATATTATTATTTCTATTATTATGTATATTATTATTATATATAATTATTATTATGAACACTGTCATTATTATCATGCATAAACATTAATATCTAATAACAATAGTAATAATAATGAGATATTAATAATAATTGTTATTACTATCGTTGGTATCATCAAAACAAAATATACAAATCACATCAGCAGGACACGTGATAAGTGCAGTCTTCATGTACACGTGCTTTTGAGTTGATGTGTGATGATTATTTGCATATGAATCATATTAATAATAAATACTAATGAGTAATAAATATCAATTCGTTAAAATTCTGACATTGCACTCACGATTGGTGTCAGTTATCATTCGGTGAAGACAGCTGTCGTCTGTCTGTACTTTTTATATTAATGTACTATTTATTATCACATAATAATGTAATTACTAACAAGTCAAATAAGTAATCACCTTTCACTATTTGCTGTACTACAACTCCAGACTACGCTCCACTTTTCACAGCGCTGTCGGAAATTATTTGATAGTCTGCGTGAAAGTGATAAATTACTCTCTATAAAATAGATTAGCAACGAGGGTTATGGATGTGGGCGCACATTCAGAGCCGTGGGCGTGGCATCGGTTATGATACGCGAGCGTGCGACCCCGAAAGTAAAAAAGTGCCATGAATAAAAGAGTTGGCCAATGCGCAACAGTCATCAACGACAACGACCTCGTTACCTTCCCAACTCTTTCATTCCCACTAATGTAATGAAGCAAGCACGGCCGTCTAATGCACTCCTCAATAGTACGTATAATACTTCATTACCGTCACGCTTACTTGTTTAATGCCGAACAGAAACACATTCGAATGAGTGCTTATTATTCATGGAAATTATTTATTGATATTAATTATTATGACGTCATTCTTTTATTTATTGTCACTTTTATTATGATTGTTATTATTATTATTATTATTATTGTTATTGTTATTGTTATTGCAATTAATATAATCATTTCATCACTACGAACACGCACTGTCCGTGCGTTATTTGTGCCTCGTTCGTCATTCGCTTCTGTTAATTATATCCCCGCAAATGAATAAATTCATATCCATAAATAATTCAGCGTTGAGAGTTCAAGGTCAAACTTCAAACTACAAACATTAACGATCAAAATATCTTCTTATCAGCTCCGAATACGTTGTTGTCCAGTGCGTTCAGCGTTTGATAATTGGGATCGTAGGTTCCCGCCTGAAATGATTCATACACATATTTCTTTAATAACAGTATCTTAATAATAAATAATAACAATAAATAATAATGATAAATAACATTAAGATGCCTCCGTACCTTCGCTCCTGCATTTGCCGGAGCCCTGAAACCGCCCCCTCCACCTGCAGCTGCCTTCTTATCAGCTCCGAATACGTTATTATCCAATGCGTTCAACGTTTGATAATTAGGGTCGTACGTTCCAGCCTGCAATTCATATATGTATCGTCAGGAAAATTCGAACGGCATAACTTCGCCGAAACCGACACTTGGTACTACCCTTAACGTTCGTCCAATGCATAATCAAAAAAAATCTGCTCACAAATCTTTGGCAAATTGACCGCACCAGTTTTCCTAACGATTTATTGCAATACTTCTTACGAGTTGTAATTTCTACATTCCGAGTAATGAATTCACTCGGAATGTCACCCGAAATCCAAATGGAAAGAGGAAAATCTGCACTTAACCAACCGACCGACCTTTTGTCCGGCATTTTCAGGTGCCCTTATGCCACCAGCCCCGCCCCCACCTCCACCTCTGGCCTTCTTATCCTCTCCAAACACATTGTTATCAAGTGCGGCCAACGTCTGGTAGTTCGGATCATAAGTTCCAGCCTGAAATTTGCCGCAAAACTTCAGGTAGAGACCTGACTTTCGAGACGAAATATTTTAAGGTTCCAGTCTACAATATGAGCGTACTCAAAATGGTACTTAAAAGAAGATCACACATCAAGACACAAATAACCGAATGAACTGGTCTAATTCAAGCAGTTCTCGAACTCGCATAAGTCGAATCTCGAGAGTTCGAACGTATAATCTCAAGAACTGTCGGATCCGAGTAGCACGATTTAGGTGCCGAACTCAAGATCCTCTGAAAATATTCTCGAATTTCTTGATTTTTGAAGGGTTTTCAGGTTTTTTAGAAACTTCTTCCGTTTATTTTATTTCTGGAATACTGATATTTTCGACTTAAAGACCCACTTTTTGTCCAGCTGCATTCTGTGGTACTTTGGGGGCTGCTCCGCCCCCTCCTGCGGCGCCGGCTTTCTCCTTCTTATCCTCACCGAACACGTTGTTATCGAGAGCAGCCAACGTTTGATAATTTGGATCATAGGTTCCAGCCTGAAATTGTACGCTAGATTTCGGGTCGAAACTTGAATTTCAATGGGTCATTTCCTAAAAATGACATCTCCAGAACTGGTTTCCTTCTTATCGGAATTTCAAGTTATCAGAACTAAAAGAGTTGTTTCACCGTTCCTTTTTCCATTTAAGTGTGGGCATCACTTTGAGTCTTAAGGTTTGGATTTGGGTTTTGAACTGCGTTGCGGGCATTGTGACCGCCCGTCGCTGACCTTTTGAGCTGCGTTCTGCGGTACAATCGGTGCAGCACCTCCCGCGCCTCCAGCCGGCTTCTTCTTATCTGCCCCAAACACGTCGCCGCCCAAACCGGCCAGAGTCTGATAGTTGGGGTCGTATGTGCCGGCCTGAGCAACAGTATTCATTATTAATTTTTTTGAAATCGTTACTGAAAAAGCAGAGGAAATGCTTAAGAAAGGGCAGTCAGTGTACCTTTGCTCCGGCATTTTCGGGTGCCTTGATCGCACCCGCCCCTCCGCCGAATCCACCTCCGCCGCCTGCCGCCTTCTTATCGGCACCGAACACGTCTTGTCCCATACCGGCGAGAGTCTAAAAATGGCAAATCCACGTGCGATTTTTAAAATTGACATTTGACACTTACTATCACGTGAAGGACGTCGAACATGAAGGCAGCCAATACGGCGCGATTACCTGATAGTTGGGATCGTAAGTTCCGGCCATTCCGCCAGCGCCGGGTTTCGGAGCCTGCGCCGCTGCGCCTCCGCCCCAGCCTCCACCACCTGCGGCCTTCTTATCGGCGCCGAAGACGTCTTGTCCCATACCGGCGAGAGTCTGCAATCACCAAATCACGTGAATGACACGTGGAATTTGGTGCGTATACGTCGAGAAGAAGCAATGAAGTGAAAGTGGCACGTGCATATCACGTGGAAGCAGACCCAAATTCACGCGAAACCCGACCGTCTCACCTGATAGTTGGGATCGTAGGTACCAGCCATTCCGCCAGCTCCCTGTTTCGGGGCTTGCGGCGCTGCGCCTCCGCCCCCGCCGCCAGCGCCCTTCTTATCAGCACCGAACACGTCTTGTCCCATACCGGCGAGAGTCTGAAATGTAGAAAAAAATCATCAGCGATTTCAGGTCTCGACCTGGACTAGTGCCAATGGACCTGGACTAGTGCCAATACGAAGGTGCACCCACCTGGTAATTCGGATCGTAAGTTCCAGCTATTCCGCCTGCGGTCGGTGCCTTCGGCGCCGCGCCCCCACCTCCTCCGCCAGCGGCCTTCTTATCACCGCCGAATACGTCTTGTCCCATGCCTGCGAGAGTCTGTAAATTCATTATTTACTGTTGTTATCATTATATTGTCATTATTGTTAATATTATTATTGCTATTATTATTTTTATTATTATCATTATTATTAGTATTATGACGTATTATCAACGAACTCACTTGATAATTGGGATCGAAAGTACCAGCAATGCCGCCTTTGTCAGGTGGCTTTGGCGGGGCCACGGCGCCTTTTTTCTCTGGCCCACCAAAACCACTAGCATCGCCTGTAATGTGGTCGAGCTAACGTCAGAGACTGGAACTAATGACTGCCTTCCAGCCCCCTATAGGGCGAAATTTAGGCTTGGGCTCGGGCGTGAGCCAGATTCAGTGATAGAAACAATTGTTATTGTTATAATAATTATTGTAATGTTTATTATTGTATTGTTTAGTAACGCAATTATTTTTATCATTATTCGATTCCTTATTATTCATTTCGATGGTGTTTATTCGCAACAAACAATTTACTTTTCTCTGCACTCGCGCCTTTCTCTGCACTCTCCTTACTGCCCTCTCCATCACTGTCTTTGGAGTCTTTTTTATTTTTGCATTTCTTTTTGTTTTTTTTCTGGAAATAAACTGAATTCCAAAATTTCTTCAAAATCTTTTCGTGAACAATCCCTTCCCAGGCATTGGGAAGGGATTCTCAAGTTTCCTTTCCAACTTACAAATTTCGCAAGCCGGTTCCCAGAAAACCTCTCAAATCATCGAGACTTATGGCAAATATTCTCGGAAATTCTTTCAGTCGCAAAGAGAATCGCCAAAAATCGAAGTAAATCAATCGCTCACTTTCCTGCAACAGCAACAACACGAACAGTGAAGATTTTGTAAGAAAGATGTCAAGAATATCATCGATATCAGTATGAATATAAACCATCTCTCGAGTATCATCCAAATATCACCCTCAATACCATATATTTCCATCGCTCTGCAATCACCCCATCGCTCACCGTTACGTTCACAAAAACAACCAATCAATATCAAACAAACCGGCAAAAAAGTGTCCACGCTAATCTTCAGTCTAAGCTCGGCTTCAACTCCAATTCCAGGCGCAGTCTCCAAGTCAACCTCAGATTACTCGGGCTCAGCCCCAGCTCCGGTACAAGTCTCTGCCTGTACCTCACAATCAGTTTAATCTCAGGTTTAGCTTCCACCCCGAGACCAGCTTCTGCCTGAACCTTGGCCTAGTCTCGGATTTGGTTTTCTCATTGAAACTGATTGGTGACGAGTTGTGAAAATATGAAATGCCAACTTGAAACAGTGCAGAATGTATCGCGTTTAGTCGTTTGAGCTGATCGCAGCAGCAGGCACCAAGAGGATATTATATCCGCTGCCGGAAAACGAATGCTCTAAGAAATAAATAAATCCGAATCCGAATTGGATTCACAAAACCGCTCAAGTGTGAATCCGAAATAAAAACTAATTTGATCGACAAAATCCTTTCTGATTTCTTCATTGCGCAATCGAAATTTCAATGAAATCTACTCATCGTCACACTGACTAATGCACAAAAAAATTCAAAATGCTGATAATCTTTCGCCTTAACATTTCTCTTCTATGAATAATTCATAACACATTTCTTGATGAGTAAATATTTCGTGCGAATCTTTCAAATTTTATTTCAAGTGATTCAATTGAATTCGTACATAGTGAAAAGCACAAAATCAAATGTGTTCAATTGAAATTCTCGTAGATCACTGCTGGTCTAAGCACAATAGTAGACAGAGATTCTTTGCGATGCTCACCGGCAAACACCCTCTCGGTGGTCATCGAACGAACCCGTCTTGGTAGTCCCCGAGGAGAGTCAGCTCCACCGAGCCTCGCTCGATGTCGACGTCTGCTTTTGCAGCATTGCATTCGGTGCACTCTTCATAAAGCAGAAATCACATCAGAGCACATTCTTTCCATTGTTAATTTTCTATTGATGTTTTTCATTTAATGTCGTCATACTTATCATTTGATATCACCGTTTATTCAGATCGCTGTTCACGAGCACAATCAACAATAATCACTTCATTTATTTATTATTATCATTCGAGCATGCCATATTGTCACTATTATTATTATTATTATTATTATTATTATTGTGCATGCATGCCATGCCCACTGTTCACGTATTTGCATATATTAAGAAATGCACTGCCCTAATATTGCAACTGTATCCAGAGATCATTTCGAAATGCATACAACAATCTCGAAGTACAAAGTTAATGCAAAAGTATTCGATGGTCAGTCACATTTTTAGTTGACATAAAAATTCGATCGCTTCTTGGCAAACTTATCATTTCTAGGTGAGAGTAAAGTGTTGGCGAAACGTGCCAATCTTACTCTATTGCAGCTTTTAGTTGTGTGTTGTTCGCTGGAGGTGTTTGCTTGAAATATGAATAGAACAGCTTGAGTGGCAAGCAACGGAAACATGTCATTATGCCAATCGCTTTTGTAAAAGACTGACATTATTTTGGACGCATTGAATGTTGTTAGAAAGACAAAAAATTTTGACATTCAACACAATCATAAAGGGAGTTTGTCAAATTCTGACAAAATGTGACTAAATTACGTCAAAAAATTGACATAAATTAATTTTTTATGCCGTTCAATAATTTTATGAGATGTATACTTATTCAAACATCATCAGCAAGGCTATTACTATAAAGCCTACGGCCGTGCTTAGCCACTGCAAAAGTTTCGAGTCATTTGTGGTCACTTCTGTGAATAGGATCTGAAATTTTTTAAATAGTAGTAATAAATAGCAAGTATAGATGATAGTAGTAAAGAGTAATGATTGATAAAAATAATAGCTATGAGAAATTAATAATAATAATAATAATAATAACCTCAAAAAAAGTGATATATAAAAAGGTTCCCGTCGCAATGCAGGTGAGTATCACTGAAGCAATATCTTTTGCCACTGACGTCATATCCGAACCCTGGAAGCGTACCTGATTCAGGCAAGGAAAGCGCTTACAGTAACCTCTGACCACGAATTACAGTAATCTTCACCCGATTCAGGCCAGAGTAAAACCAACTCATTTACAGTAACCTCTGCTGAAAAGCTACCGTAATAGGTGCCTGACTCAGAGGTGCAAGAAAGGTGACCCGCTCTTGCAGCTACGTATCACTCTGAAAGTCACGCAGATCACTCACTCTCACGGCCATCCCAACAGCGGCGCCAAGCGGTGATGTTAACGAGACAAGCGCCACCAGCAAGATTACGGTATATGTCCGTGCGGGATGCGAACGCACTAACCGCAGCCCAATACTGAACAGTACAACCGCCTTATGCACAATGATACCGAAAAATAGCGTAGCCAAACTCAACGTCGAGTCCTGAAACGTTGAAAACATACAACGTCGTGCGTTAGGTCGGCCAAAAGTTGCGCTCAATTTTTTAGAAGCTTCGACAGGGGTTAAAGATCGCGTCAACATGGAAGAACACCGGCACTTTTTTACTTTGAGGGTCGCATGCGAACGCGCTCGCGTATGACAACCGATGCCACGCCTACTGCGCATGGCCTCAGCCTGAGTGTGACCTCAGCCTCACCTAAGCGTAGCCTCAAATCGCTCGATGTCACAACGGGGGCTAGTAAGCGAGCTCAGGCTTAGGCTTAGGCTGAGACTACACTTAGGCTGAAGCCATGCGCAGTAGGCGTAGCCTCGGTCCATGTGAAAGCGTCGTTCATAGTGTACGAGCGCATGTGTGTATCGTTGTATGCGAGCGTGCTCGCGTGCGACCCCCTCAAAGTAAAAAAGTGCCCTTTTGTGCGGAATGTTGCGAAGCTTATCGTGATCCTTAGTTATTTCCTGCCCAATCCAACCCAAATTCTCAAAAAATTCTCCACTCAAACACCCAAAAATGTCCCGATTCACTCAAAATTTCCACCGAATTCTTCGAAGAGATTCCACAAAGATTCACCCAACCTGAACTCCAAACACGAAACCCTCCAGACACGAATGGAATGTGAATGCGGTCACAAACGTTATGGATTTCACAAGTTCTGGCGCACTGCCAACTCGTCCCACATCGACCGCGACGCGAGCCGCTTGCACCAAAGATGTGCCTCGATGTCGCATCGTTGGTTCGCGTTGAGCGTGCTGCAGTTCAATGCCAACCGGCTGAATGATGGCCTTTCCGTGACTAAAATTCCGCGTATTGCGCTCGAACGCCAACTACAGTATTCCAAAGCGATCACGCGATACGGTAAAACTACCGTATGCTCCGCATCTTACCGTACCCACCCACAACTTAACGCGTCGCAGCCAATCATAAATTCTTCAATAAAGCAGTCAAATCAAAATACCTCACTTACAATCTACCGTATCCCCAATCAACCTCATCCTCTACCGTATCCCCAATCAACCTAATCCCCTACCATACCACCAATTAACCATATCCTTAAGCAACTGCTATGTTCTCAGCTAGCCACTCAGACAACTGCAACCGAAAGCAAGCAACAAAGCACCGCAAGCCCAACCTCAGCTCCATACTTCTGGCCACTTCACATTCTTTGCACTCCGCACAATCGTCGATTGATATCGAAGTGCGCAACGTGCTTCTGCTTATCTTATTTGCGTTATTGTTGCTGTCGTTATCACTGTGATTATCACCGTTATCCTTGTTTGTGGCACTTCGCGACGACAGCAGTGCAATCCGCGACGTTTCATATTCATAGATTTTCAGTGAGATCTCTTCGATCAAGTACACAAAGAAGAAGCCTAAGCCAATGATCAACGGCACAAACGGATAATCGGTCGACCAACCCAGTCTGCTTTTTGCCACTTCGTATGTTTCACTGAAATCAACAACAAATGAAATTTGACAGAGCACATCAGACAACATCAAGAGATCCACTTTGATTCGACTAGTTTGCTCGTTTTTTTAATGAATTCAGTTCAATTGCGGTACATTTCATCTCGATAATTCGATAAAATTTGAATCAGAATGGAAGGTTCAAGTAATCGTCAAAAATTCGATCGATAATCATAAGATCAATGAGAAAAGTCCAAACGCACCTCGCAAAAGGCATTAAATCGAGCAAACAAACACCTAAGAAGACACCTCCCGACAGACACGACAGCATTGAGAGTGCCAACGACGCATAACCACCGTTACCGATTCGCTGACGTTTATCGACAAAATTATTTATCTGAAACATCGAGAAGTTTCCATTTTTTTAAATTCTGTTGCTTGAACTCAAATTAGAACTGAAACAGTATTGAAAAAAACCAAAAAAAACGATAATAATAGAAAAAAAACAATATTAATCAATAATAATAACAATAATATGTGCATTAGTGACAGCAAATTTGCTTACCTTGATGGGTAATAGCCCAAAGCAGAACGATATTACGGCCATCGCAATAAGTAATGCTATCTTCAATACCAGCACGTCCATTGTCTCTTAACGCGTACACACTAGAGTAACAACGCAAAAGAACTGTAATTTTGAGTTCGGATACTGTAATTTGAGTTTGAGTTGCGATCGCGTACAAGGAACAGGTTGAACTAGCAAAAAAACGATGAGAAGACACGAAATTACCCTTTTAGGTGATGTTTCCTCTAAAGCCGTCTGGTGGTCACATGAGGGAGGAGGGAGAGGAATTCCCTCTAGAAATAAAGTAGTGAATTGTCAGGGGGAAGGGGACTGGGCCGTCAGAGAGGGGAATTACGGTCACCTGGATTTTAGGAGGGGGATCATCGCGGTCACGTAGATTGCTGAAGGGAGGGAGTATTTCGATACTGGAATGAGAGTAAGGTGTGGGCTATGAACACGGTCTGCGAACAAATGCCAGCTGACAGAGCTAGCACTGTTCAAACGTGCTGCTCTAATCGCCCTGCTCGTAACCCGCTTTCCATCACAAGCTTGTGCCACCCACCCACACAATCCAATCAACTCATTCAAAAGCCAACAAAATTACCCACTCACCATCGCAAGAAGATTTAACATTATGAAAATTGCAAATAATTTTTCACAAAAATCCATTCTTATTACCTATAAAACATTCAAAAAGAATAGAATTGTCCATTAATTGCCCAACGGAATCAATCGTTGGTAAATTACTCAAAAAAAAAGAAAGTTTTTCGAAAATGTCAGCCATACAACTACAAAACAGACAATTCAGTCTTTTAAAATAACCTCAACGCAATCCCAAAATTAGCATCAAATCCTAAAATTACGACAATATTTTTAAATCCTAAAATTACGACAATATTTTTAAATCCTAAAATTACCTCCCCCTCTCGCTCAAAAAAACGTTAAAGTCACCTAAAGATGTATCATCCAAATTAAATATTCCACTAAAAATTCAACAACAATTACAAAGTGAACATTATGAATTCGAGTCAGCATTCACCGCCTTTCAATATTCAACTAATTTGAGTGATTTAATAAGAATATTTGAGAGCAGATTCAAATTGCCTCATTATGTTGCAGTAATTATATTTGTTATCGCTCATAATTGCTACTTGAGGTTTACTTGAAGCACACAAAAACAGCAATAAAACACCACTCACAAGTTTGGCATTCGCATTCAAAACGATTTTTTCAATAATTGAAATATGGTTCGAATTGTGCGCGGTGATCGAAAGTATTTCAGTGCTTATTTTGATGTCACAAATAAGCATTTGCTGTCGACGGATACTTTCGAGTGATCACAAAAATACGCATGATCAACTCAACTCATAATGACACAGTCCATAGTCACAATAGAAGTACGTATAATGCTAATGGTGATAGCAATATTTATAAGGTAATCGCAACAGCAATAATAAATAATAATAATCGACATCAGAGTGACTAGTTTGGTGTGCAGCAACGTTATCATGCAATGTCGTCTACCAAGAGGCTGGCTCTATTTAATTTTATTATGTTTCTTATATGATCATCCAACAAAAAATAGCAACATCTTTAAAAGAGTACAAAAATGTGCATGACACTCTACTAAAATACAACAGAGTAAAAAAATTTTCATGATATTACAGTACGCACAATCAGCATGAAGGCATTTCCTTTCGGATGCAGCTCATCAGACCTGTTATTTTAATCAGTATTACCGTTGATACCGTAAAATATGTTTGCAATAATGACTAAGGATTTTTTTAAAATATTTTAGTGCTCATTCAATTTTCAAGACGCACTCGTAAATTCTTGAGCCACTCCTAAACACTGCCCACAAGTTTGCTTACTTCCCAGATTCACGTGAATATCTCACTGCTCTTACTCACGTTTTGTTCACGTGTTCATCACATGCTCATCAATACCCCAGCACTATTCTCGAACAAGAGTAGTGTCAGGGTACGGCGACCTTGAAAATGAAGGAGCCTCCAAGGGGGCAAGATGGAGGGGTCTCTGAGGGTATGGGTAGGGTGGGGAATCCCGGAAGCCAGTGGCTAGGAGGTCTGCCGAGGGCACGGGGTAGGATTGAAGGGTCTCCGAAGGTACGGAGTTAGGTAGAGGGGCCTCCGAAACCTCATAGATGCCTTGGAGTTCCCGACCGAATCCTTAGATGAATCATTGCGTGCATTTGTTTGACTGTTTGCAATATTTTACAACTGAACATTTATTTATTAAAAATTATTACGATATCGATGTGACGGCAAATGAACAGATGAAAATCACTTTTAAAAAATCGAAATTTTGAATCGTTTCAATGCAGATACGAACCATTCGCACGCAATCGATAAATATCATGCAAATCATTTACAAAACTTTAAGTAATACATAAAAATGGAGCGTAAATAAAAGTATAAATAACGAGAAATATTACATAAATATTCTAGAATTGACCCGAAACATCTTAAATTCATTACTTCTACGACACTTACATAACATAGCTTCAACATCAAATTCCAGTTGCTAATAGAATAGGTTGAAAAACTTAAATGCCTCTTTTAAGTCATCAAAATGAAATCATCTCATAAGCTTGACGCATTTTACAGTGGTTTACTTCAGCACACCTTCAAGGCCAGAGCCTAAGTCTAATAGTAAGTCTAATCCTGAGCCCTGAGCCTCAGCTTCAACCTGAGGCTAAGGCCAAGAAGGGACGTTAGCCCGAGCGAGGCAGACCTCGGCTTGAGTCTAAGCACAATCTAGACGTGATCGCGAGCCGAATTTAAAGCGAAGATCAGAGCGCTATGACACAACGCAAAGTCAATGCAACACAATCGAGCGCAATGCGAACTGCAGCACGCCTCACTGATAAGAACACTGATACGACAAAGAACACAGCACAAAAACACACAAAAAATATTTCACCGTCAAATCACAAATAAAATAACTACGATGGCAATGAAACAAGTGATCATTTGATATATCATTAAATATTTGCTACATTAACAATTAATCATAATGATAACAATGATAATAATAATAAAATAATCATAATAATAACAGTTGTAATAATAATAATAATAATAATAATAATAATAATAATCACAAATGACAAATAACAAATATTAATATTAATGACAAATGACAAATATAATGACAGATGTCAAATAATGACAAATATCGAGCCAGTTACCAATAAATGCCACGTGATGATAGTGATAATAATATAACTGCAGCAATACTCACAATAAAACGAGTACAATCAAACGAAAATAATTTTAAAGACAGTACATACTATATATGTAGTAAGTAAGCCTTAATTATGTGTCCACCTAGAATACTGAATGCAATTACACTAATGTTATATTGACTTTAAAGAAAATCTATAATGATAACATAACAAATGCAAACAGCGGTGTTCGGTATCAACAGCAAACAAGCGAATAGCAATCGGCCTACCAAGCACTCCACAATCAAGCACTAATCTATCGTCTCCCTACCAAATCCTCTCACGTTAACCATTAATTTCACGTGAACACACGAGTGTTTCACGTGAAAATTTACGTGTTTACGAATGTTTTACGTGAAATTAATCAAATTCCACTTTTCTTTCACACTATTGATGACGGCATCATTTAATGATAACAACGATAATGATCAAATCTTTATTTAATCACCTAAAAATATCACATCACAAAACGAAACAATTCAATTCACACATCCACTCTTCAAATTCACAATCGATAGAATTAATAAATTTCCGAAAATTAATAAAAGTCACAATCAATCATGAATACCACACGTTTACAATGTTATTCATCCCATCTCGAAAAAATAAACAATATCAACAGAATAACTGATCACCATTCCCCTTAAAAAAGGTTTTTTTTCGCACTCCAGAAAGCCTTTGCCCATTCAAAAACTCGGGAAAGCTTCCTGGCAGTGATTACGGGGATTCCCTGGCAAGATCTCTGCCCGAAACACACCGGAATCTCTCGTTTACTTTGACTCTGGAGCGACTCCACAACTAGACTCCGGCTTGGTTGAGTCTGGAGATTGGGCGCTTAAAGCTCGCACATTTGATTTCGGTCTTGGATACAAATAAAAGAAATTATACCCAAATATAGCACAGAACAGATTTAAAAGTATAATCCAAAACATTACTCAACGCAATAAACAAACTACAGGCCTTGTTGTTATTTATTATTATGAAACAATTCGGAAAAATAAAAATTTATATGGTTATATTATGCTATTCAATAAATAATATTATTATGAATCATACAGTATTTATTACTGTAATAAGAGATACACGTTACTTTGTTGAATGATTGTCATTATTATGCGCTAACACAGTAAAACTTGGTGAGGACATTACTGGAAATATATTGTGAAGCATTGCTTTTATTACATGACTTATCATGCATTATTATTGTTAGTATTATTATTATTATTTATATTATTATTCTTATTATTATTTATATTATCATCAAATTACCTCTATATGACATGAATTTCTGTGTGATATTATGTGACACGAATATATTCTCCCCTATAGCACTTCTCAACAGCTCAGTGTCGCACAAAATCGACTCGAACAAAACCTAAAATCAAAAATTCGGATGCCAAAATCCAGAATACAAAATCCAACGTCCAAGATACAAAGACCAAAAGCAATTGAATAAGCGATCAAATTATTACGGCTATTCCAGATCTCTTGTTTATAACTGATACTCGGAATCGCAGCAAATCTAAATTCTGCGAATTGTGTGCGATATGCAGTGATTCGTTAGTCAGTCACTTGCGATTGCATTCTGCTGAAAATAGAAAATTATTATTATTATTATTATTATTATTATCATTAATCACTATTGTTATTGCTATTATCACTATTGCTATATTAGTGTTCATGTCATGATTCACTGCATGAAGGGATTAAGGATTATAAGTAAGAGAATAATATCGATTTTAGCATTAGTAACAGAATTGTGCTGCAATATTTTCACATTGTCTGTTATTATTGTTTAACAAGGCAGTACAGTAAAAATTAAACATTTGCAATGAAACTCACCAATTAAATATCAAAATCTCAGAAATTATATTTTAATTGTTCTCAATTATTTTAAAACGAACCTTTTATGTTCGGTTCGCTGAATTCATTTTATGACTCTTCATTTATTTATTTTATTACCGTTAATTACACCTCTTTCGAGTACATTTACGATTATATCTATATATTAAAACGATTATTATACCAATAAATCTAACAAATACTAATTACTTTCACAACAACTCAGCTTTACACGCCAGCACGGCAGCGTAACCTATCAATAATACACGGCTTACGCACTGCTCTATATTTACTCA